GTCAAAACTGGCAGCGTCGGAGCTGTGGGCACCGGCGCCTCAGCAGACTCAACGGTTGGTGGGGGTTTGTTGACTCCTGAAGAGCCTGGCGTGAGTGCTGCTGGAACCTCGACGGCGGGGGTAGTGATGGGGTTGCTCGGGGGCTCAGGCTCCTGTCGCTCTGCTCGTGCGGGCGAACCAATGGGCTTTTCGGCTGCTTCCCTCAAGGGCGATCTGGGACCCACGCTGCTTCCCGGACTATGCATGAAGGTGAGATTTTCTCCAGAAACCGACCCAGGTGTAGTAGGACGAAGACCGTCTGTACTGCGGCTGGGATGGAGATCCTGGGTACGAAGCGTAGGTCTGGACTCAGGACCTCTACGCCCGTCGCGTGAGGATGGTGGTCGGGAGTCAGGGAGGGGACTCCCCGACCTGGCGTCTTCAAAATTGCCATTCGACCGTTCCCGCTGACCGGCAACAGGAGCGGCCTGCAAGCTAGAGGGATAGTCCCTATTTCTCGGCTCCGGAGGGGATATTATGGGTACCTTTGGCACTCTGGAATCCGCGGCAAGACGTTCGGCTGCGCGAGGAGGTGGCTGTTCGCGCTGGTCAGGAGGCAATGGTGGGGCGTGTTGAGGTGGGCTAAACGGAGGAGTACCGCTTTTACCAGACTGGCCAGTAGACGGTCTCCCCATCTGATCACGACTTCTTTGTGCTCGTAGGGCATGTTCCTCAGATGGTGGTGGCGGTGGTCGTCGTGGTCCATCGCGACTGGGCGCACGGCTAGAATACGGTGACTGAGGCCGGCTTCCTTGTGATGAGGGAGGCCGTGGGGGAGGCAGGGTCACTTCGGGGCGCGGAGGACCAGGAGGAGGGCCTTTAGGAGCTGGCGGACCTGCAGCTGATGCACCAGCAAGCAGCTGTCGTTCCCGCTCATCGAAGCCGATCAGGGTCGGTACCTTGCCGCCAGTATATTTTCTGTAGATTTTAACGAGGCTGCCTATGAAAAAATCCTTCTCTTTGGAGGTCCGTGCATGCCAGTAGTAAGGCTTTCCAACGGTGACGATGAATCCAACATTGGCAGCCCACTGCTTGTGTTGTTGTTCTAACGGTGTGCTCGGGACCAAGGCATTGTAAGACTGGATGGAGGAGAGGTCATCCAACATCCAGGTCTTGCCAATCGAGAATGAGCCATCATTGTTCTCGCGCGCCTTGTGCATGCGCACTCTTCCTGACCGTCTGACAGCGACAATGATCACACGAGGTTTCTTGTTTTCGGGCGGCGAATTGGGTGGAGCGGGGGTGGACGGATATGCCGCATCCTCCAAAATGCGGACATGTGTTATGTAGGACTCGACCACTAGAAGGAGGAAGGGGAATAAGTCAACCGGACACCTTGTTAGGAGAGGAGCGTGATTTGAATGTTCATACACGAGCCATCGCTGTCTTTCTTTCCAAAACAGCTATGAATGATCCGCCGCTTCTCGTCCTCGAATTTCTCGGCCCTCGACATCGAGGCATCCCCGGGGCCGGCGTTACCGCCATTGCGACTATCACCAGCTCGACGAGGGTCTCTTTGAGGGGGCATTTCGCCGGGCGGGGGACCCCGCATGCGGTCACGACTACTCATGGTTGCTAATCGATCTCCGAAAGCCTGGATCACTCAGGATGTGTTCGGGGATCAAGTGGACATGGTCGGGAAGACGGGGGCAGGGATCACACGGGGCGCGCGCCGTGGGCGAGGACTGGGATGGTCAGTCAATCGATAGGATCCAACGAGCAAGATCGTGATTCATTCAAAAAGCAAGGAGATTGGCAGAAGGCGACGCCATACACGATTTGGCGCAGAACCGAGTTCCAAAACCGACGGAAGGTGGAGGAGGAGGAGGGAGCCAGAGAGGTGGGATTAGGTCATTCCTTAGCCACTAAGCTACCGTTAACTTGGGAGGGTGTGAGAGCATGGGCTGGCGGCTGCGGATACGGCACGGAACTTAGTCTCGGCGGAGGTGGCAGTGGTTACGATGCAATTGTAGACACACTCCTCTCTAGGATCGATGATGCGAAAGGTGGGCTAGCTGTATGCTAAAATTATTGACTGTCGTTTCGCAATTAGGAGAATTACAGACGTTCCCTCCTGAGTAGATCCCCTATATGCCATCCGACACTTTTTCGAGCTCGTACAACATAATTATGTAAGCACATAGAGGCGTTTGCATTAAGCGGGCACGGTCCACTCCGGTTGCCTGTGCATAAGCATCTGTCTAACTGTCATGCAGGATGGCCGAGTCCAATTTTGGATTCAGTTTAACCTCACCCCTCGTCTCAAGAAATCAATTGCGAGATTTACCCAGCTGCAGTACTGATTTTAAAAGTACTTTATATATAGATATCTAACATACTAATGTCTAAACTCGCGAACGATAGGCTGATTCGGTTTATTGGAACCTTGAGCTTACTATATACTAGTACTAACTTGTGCAACTAAGAGTGAGAGCAAGATGACAGCTACTATTGATGGTAGCAAGCACAGGAGATCGAATATCACTTCAATTCTGTATATAGATTGGCTTTCTAGCAACAAGCTGGTATTATACAGTCTCCCTTATACAGCTTATTTACACTATTTCATTCATCAGGCACTCGTGCCATCCCAGTCTGTCCGTCATGAGGAAATTCAGTTTCCTGTAATTGAGCAAGAACGAAGGTTGTCAGCGGACTTCAATCTCCGCTACAAGAACAGAAAAGGAGCAATGGACTACATACCGGACCGGTGAATGTCCTCCTCTTTCCTCCCCACCATCCAAGAGCAATCAGAGCAACAAACCCTGCGAGTACTACACTCACATAATTCATGTCGTGTACCGTGGTCGGTAATCGGAGAGGAAGACAAAAGAACACCAATATGACTGCCACCCAGAGAACAGCAACCGCATTGCAGAAGGGTCCAACGTGCTTTCCCAATGCGAAAGCTCTTCTCGGAAGCACGGCTTCACGTCCACGAAGCAGCACGATTCCTTGCGGGATAACATAACAAATGTTAAGTTCAATAATGACTATTGATATGAGGCTGTTGAATGCTGATGCTGAGCCAATGTATATCAGCCCGTATAGGCAGATGAACACACAACAACCCAGTGTGGCGTTCAGCGGCATCTCGTTCGTGATCTTAAGGAAGAATGACGAATAGGGAAGACCGCCGGCTCGGGCGAACGTGTATGCAAGTCGTCCCGCTGTCAGTATACAAGAAAGTTCAGCCGCACAATAGAAGAATATAACCCAGGCAGTGAAAAGTGTGGCCACGGCTGAACTGGATGTTGCTTGTAAGTATGCCGTATAGATGGGGATTGAAGAAGATGCAACGGCATTAAGATCGGTTGTGCAGAAAAGAATGGTTACTGAGTATGGAATACAGGTTACCATGCCAGTCAGCACGGTAGACATCATCGCCCGGGGGATATTGCGACCTGGCTCTGGGACTTCCTTTTTGATGACCAATCGTTAACAGCGAGCTGAAAAACGCAGCCATATGGCAGCAGAGAAACTCACATCGGCTATATGGGTAATGCTATCAACTGTTATGTATGCGTACATGCAAGTCCCAGCGCCTATCATGAAGGCTGTCCCGTCACCCCAGCCTGTATGATTTTCATAGGCAAAGAACACAGTGGGCGCGGACTGTTTGTGATCTTGCATTGCTAACACCGTTATGAAACTGGCGCTGAAAGTGAGCAAGCTGAAGGTGAGGATAAAGTCCTCTACTAAAGGAATAACACGAGGCAGAAAACACACAACCATAGTTGAGAGGAGAACGATCAGAAGATAGATGAGATAGATTCGCCAGGCAGCTTCCGTGAAGCTCGGACGGTGGACAGTCACCAGACCACTGATCATTTGTGCTTCTCAACAAATTATTCCCAGATCATACCCAGAAGAATTCGGGCGAAAGAAGGCGAGACGGCTTACCACAGACTATTCCGTTGGATGTAGACACCGTGCACCAGGAAATCATAGTCAACCAGCCAACAACGAAGGAAACCGCGGCACGGTGCTTGGGCGCCGAAGCCATGAAAGCAAAATGGAATGGCCCTCCGCTAGTGGGAAATGCAGACGCCAACTCTGCAAGGCCAGCAGCTATTGGCGGACAGGATATCAACGCCGTTTTCATGAGTGAGTAGGGCGTGCTTACTGATAAAACAACAAGCTATCGAAGCAACAACAAGGCCAAAGAAAGCCGTTGGGCTCCCTCCCATCACCAAAGGTATCGATAGGATACCCGCGTAACCAGCCCATGAGTTAGTAATGCTGTATCCCAATGCCAATGTCGACAAAAATGAGAATTGACGAGGAAGCTCGGCACGGGCAGTGCCAGGGCTTTCGATATCAGACATCTCGGCAGCTGCATTCTGAACCTCAATGGTGAGGAATTAGAAAAGACATCTTTCGTGCTATGGTATAGGCAGAGTTTAAAAAACCCCCACCTGACTAAATTGATCGTAAGTATACATATAAGGTTTAGTTAAAGTTAGAGTAACGACTAGTTACAGGTAATGCACTGACCCGTGGTACGCAACCCGAACTGCAGAGGCCGTTGTCCACCCGCTAACAAACAAGACGGAGGTTATTATGTTCAGAGCATGCCCGCACATCGCAGTAAATACCTGTGAACATAATGTGGTAGTAATTGACGTCCTTAGTGTATTACACTTGGGTTCGTTGCACGGACACGCATGCAGCTTACCTTGCCTGCGTATTCCCCTATTTCCCTACTGGAAACTGTAAACAGACCGAAGATAAGCCTACACTCGCTCAAGATAAGGCGGAGTTCCTAACGATCTTGGTCATTGTCCTCACGCGGGAATAGAAAATCTCCGAAGTCGCACCTCGGTGCTCACCATCTAGGGCACGTGTACTGTGTGGTGGGATTAAGTTCGCAATGTCGCACATTATTTCGATGATTTTTAGTGTTGATTGAATGGAACCCAGTCATCCTACGTTCATGATAAGGGTAAAATAAGAGGAAATATTCATTGGGGAAGGATAATAGTAGACGAACAGACAGTGAAATATAAAAAGCGAGTATCAGATTACAGCCCCACACCAACAGTGAAAGTAAAAGACAAACCAAGCCCAACACTCATATAGACTAATCCGTCAACGAGAACCGCACGACTTCTTCTTCCGTAGAGGCAACATTCCTTACAGTCCAATCCCACAAGTCATCCTGCTTGCTCAGATCATAACTCTCCTCACTCGAGCGGATCTGCTCCCTCCCCTCATAGTAAACCCCACTACTCGACGAACCCTCCTTACCACTCGTCAACCAAGCCAACGTAGCCCCCGACACCTGCGGCGACTTGATATTCGGTGTTCCCAGCAACACACGCAGAAGCGGAATGACGCGAGGAAGAATCACATGCCAAAGAAAGCGCAAGACAGGGTTCGCTTCACGGACCAGCCCAGTCCCAGGCATGAGACCAGGATCAAACGCAACAACGGTCCACGACTTAAGCTTTGCATCTTTCGACTCATTGAGGCGCCGGTGCAGCGCGTACACCCAAAGAACGTTGGCAAGCTTGCTGGTTGAGTAACGCTGGCGGCCGGGATTCTGGGCTGTGCTCTTTGTCGGGTGAGCGAGCTCCTCCGCACTGGTGTACTTTGCGTCGGGGAGGCCGGTCTTTTGTGCGGGATCGTGTGTGCCGCTGGAGGTAACTACTATCCTTGCTGTGTGGGCGAGGTGCGGGACCAGCAGTGAGAATAATAGGACGTGGCCGATGTGGTTGATCGCGAAGGTTTTTTCGTATCCGTCTACTGTGTATTCGACGGGTCCGGGGAACTGTAGGCCTGCGTTGAGGAGGAGGTACTGGATGGGAGGGTATTTGTTGGTTTCCCATTGTTGGACGAAGGATCGGATCTGGGATAGGTCGGAGAGGTCGAGTCGGAGATAGTTGACGTTGGTTTGGCCCAGAAGTTTGTTTATAGAGCCGGCGGCATCTTGGGAGTCGGATCGAGATGCGATTATTACTTGATAGTTGGGAAATTGGCGCGCGAGTTCTATGGTGCAGTAGTAGCCTAGACCGGCGGTACCTCCGGTGATGAGGATGCTGCGTGAATAGGACATGATTGTGGATAGGAGGGATGAGTTTGGTCTCTTTCAGTAACAAGGCAGGCTGATGCCCTATTTATGCCCCAATATCTCGGTCTTAGGAACGGAGATATGCAATCCATGCCTTTTGAACTATGATCCTTCTAGGGTTGGATGAGGCAGCAATGTTCCGCTTCGGGAATAGCGGGAACGGCACCGTCGATATCTCGAGGCGCCAATCTGGACCGACCAGTCATCTATAAGAAGGCCATGAATGAAAGGATCAGGAGAAAATCGTCGCTGCCGTTCCATGCTAGTTGCTCGTGACAGCTGTGGCCGAGATGGGCTTGGATGCAAACATTGTATATCCGTCTCAGCCGGATGACCCTGACCCGTCCCAGCTGCTGCACTATCTTCCGGATTACGAGGTTGTCATTTGCAGTGCCTGCCGATATGCTGTCCAGCCTCATGGGATCTTGCGTCATCTGAAGGAGATCCATCGCATACTCCGTGGCCGCCGGCGGAAGTATTCCCATTACGTTGCCAGCTTGTCCCTTAAAGAGCCAAACGACGTCGTACCCCCCAGTGGTGCTGATCAGTTCCCGGTCCCATACCTACCGGTTGAGCCCGGTCTTCGATGCCAGGCAGCTGGCTGCATGTATCTATGTGCTTCTAACAAGCGCATGCAGTCCCACTGGAGGACTGTGCATGGACGAAAAGGCGATTGCACCACAGACTGGCGTCCGGTTCCCCTGCAGACATTCTTCCGCGGCAATCACCTACGGTATTTCACTTCTGTGGGCGCAAAGTCGAATAACGATTTGCCATATTCTCTCTTCGGGCCACTCACAGCAGAGCTATTAGAAGATAAGCTCCATGCAGGCCTAGACTCCATGGATTCTGCCCTTCTGGACCACTACCTCCAACACACATACCATAGTTTCGCCACCCACGAAGAAACAGATAAGATATGGCGCTCGATTGTCCCGGGGCTAGCACACCAGAATGTGTTCCTTCTGCATGGCCTGCTAGCCTGCACAAGCTTGCACAGAGCACACATGAGCTCTGGGCATGCGGACCAGGAAAAGGCATTTCTCCTAAGAGCCTACCACCATCAAGGCATTGCTCTCCCGCAGTTTCGGTACGCTATTGAGCATCCTACGACGGACAATTGCCATGCCATTCTGGCATTTGCATATCTGCTAGTGGTATATTCTTTTGCCGCTGATCAACCTGGGTGCACAGACTCCAACCTGAGCGAGGACTCGTTGCTTCTAGTGGATCGGAATAGTGGCGAAGGTACCGAGCCTGATAGCATTCTTTGCAACTGGCTATACTTTCTCCGCGCTGGTTGCTCTATGCTGTGTGAGGTATGGGAGCAGTTGAGCGAGGGACCCGTCAGAGCACTTTCGGAGGCTTGGGACATTGATTTGGATTACGACCCAGAACCCTCATATTTGGCACTTCTCTTGTCAGTGATCCCAAATGAGGTCGCCACACAAAGCACTGGCGATACAAATGAGACGACTCTCGTTTGGCCCGAAGATGTGACAGCCATTTATCAAGAGGCTGCCAGTGTTCTGTGCCAATCATTTGCGTACGTGCGTGCCCACCGCGGATTATTTACTACCTGGGACGTTCTCCGCATATGGCCCATGGAAGTGTCGCTAGAATACATGGCTCTTCTCCACCAACGGCACCCTGGCGCACTTATATTGCTGGCGTACTATTGTGTTCTGTTGAAGCAGATGGAGAGGCACTGGTACTTCGAAGGGCGCGCGGCAATGCTAATTCGCGCCATTCAGAGACATTTGAAGCCGGAGTGGCATACGTTTATCCGGGAGCCACTGCATAAGGTTGTAGGCGTACCTGATGGAGGCCATTTCCTTGAGAAGATTTAGCTATATCTGAAGGCAATTCGGGGAGCATTCCGTGTCGGGCAACGTAGTAGTCTCGGTATTGCTTCCATCAGCGGATTATACCGTTCACAGGATTCGCCGCTGAGAAGCCATATGGAAGGTTAGCACATCAAATTTTACCCTCGCGGCGAGTCAATACAAAATTGACTTGATTCTCTGACTTCACTTTCATTGAGATGCTTGGGAGAATCAATCCAGCCTTTGGTCCAGAATCTCCAGTACCTGGCACGTGACCCTCTTGTTTCACGGAACTATAATCACGTGAGACCCACGTAAAAAGTCAGCTGAGCAATCACGGACCGCGCCCGACTGACCGCCTTTGATGCCTTTGTGCTGTTTTTTCCTTTTCTTTTTTTTTCTGCCTCGCCGATAAAGGGAAACTTGAAAACATCCAAGTCAATCTTTTCATTTTCACAGTTTGCAGCGTTTGTGCCTGACAATCATCATGGCCGGTCAGAAATCCAAGCAGGCGAAGCCCGCCAAGGTGTCCAAGAGCAAGGAGACTGTAAGGCGAACCGACCGACCTTTCTACTGTATAGATAGGCAATACTGACCAAATTCATGAAAACCAGCCTGCTCCTCCCGCTCAACTCGTCGCCGCGATCAGTGCTTTCCTGAGCGAATCTGGTCTCTCTAAGACCAAGGAAGCTTTCGCCAAAGAACTTTCCAGCAAGTCGATCGACTCTGATGCGAAGAACGTGCCGTCCCTGCTTGAACTGTACCAGTCCTGGGAAAAGACCTCCGAGAAGTCCTCCGGTTCCAGCTCTTCGGACAGCGAGAGCGACAGTGAGAGTGAGAGTGGAAGCGAGAGTGATAGCGAGAGCAGTGATAGCAGCTCCGACGAGTCCAGCGATTCTGATGTCGAGATGAACGACAAGTCCGAGTCCGACAGCGACAGCGACTCTGATGAGGAGGAGGAGAAGAAGAAGCCCGCTGCCCCTGCTGCCAAGTCCCAGGGCACCAAGCGCAAGGCTGAGTCCAGCTCCTCTGAGTCTGATTCCGAATCTGAGTCTGATGAGGCCCCGAAGTCGAAGAAGACCAAGGTGACTTCCGCCAAGGAGGAGTCTTCTGACTCGGACTCCTCTGACTCTGAGTCCGACTCTTCCTCTTCCTCTTCCGAGTCTGAAGTGTCCTCCGACTCCGACTCCTCTAGCGATGACTCCAGCTCCTCTTCTGAGTCCGATTCCGACTCCGACTCTGATTCGGACTCTGACTCTTCCTCCGACGAGGACGACAAGAAGGCCGACAAGAAGGCCCTGAAGGCTGCTACCAAGACCCCTCTGCCTCCGTCCGACTCTAGCTCCAGTGGCTCTTCCTCGTCTTCTTCTGCCGACTCCGACACCACCGGAACCGTCAGCAACTCCGACTCTGCTGCCAAAGAGCAGTCTCAGTCTGCCCAGACATCCGCATCCAGCAGCGCCAGCCCTGCTCCCGGCAGCGCCCCCCAGAAGAAGAAGCACACTGGTGCTCGCCCCACCCCTCTGGCGCAGCTGAGTGAAGGCCCCACCGATCACCTCCTTTCGAACGACTACGTTCCATACGCCTACGCCGAGAAGGCCTGGCAGGATCTGTCGGTCACCCGCGGCAAGGGCTTCACCAAGGAGAAGAACAAGAAGAAGCGCGGCTCTTACCGTGGTGGTCCCATCGACATTTCGGGCGGCAAGTCTTTCAAGTTCGATGACTAGATCCGCGATACTATGTCAGAGATGGAGACCAGTCTTGCCTCTTAATATAGGGGACCACTCAAGCATACCTACAGCTTTTACATGCTCGAAACAAAATGGGTATTCAAAAAAGTTCTATTCTCTTATGATTCCATCCATATAGATCTATATGCAGCCTAGATGGGTCATTGAATCATTTTCTACAGCAAGGCGCTACTGGAGCCCGGTCGGATTGCTTTTCTTGCAGCTTTTCTTTTTGCTTTTTGCTTCACGCTTCTTCACCTGTATGTACTATCTACTTACATCATCTAGACCTTTAGAGATGTTATAAACATGTATTCACATATTCTTGCTCTTCATTTTTAATCCTAGCCCTTGAAGTAATAGTACATGCTGGTAGGTCGTAAATAGCCTCTTGCTAAGCTCAGCTCAAATTTATCCATGCATCGTACCATGCAATCCGTCCCCAAATCCAGCTGAAGGACCTGTAACCAGTCCAAATTCACAGCACATGCGGATCTTGATAAACCAGTCGCCTTTTGAAACGTCTCCAAACAACCCAACACCGGTAAACAACATTCAGTACACACACCACACCATAGACAACCCCTATTGCTCCTTCCTCTCACTTTTTACCCAACACCCTCTCCATACCACCAACTACTCAACCAGATCATCAACCCGTCTCCACGACCCCGACTTCTCCAACCTCTCCCACCTCCGATCCCACCCCGTAACCTCCTCCGCAAGACGATCCTCCACCCCGACAGACCCAAACGGCTGCTGCTTGCGCAAAGTGATAGAAGACATGGTATCATCGGGGCGCTCGTAGCCCGATAACTCCAGAACTCTGTCCGCGGGATGGGTGTGCGTAACAGTGCTGTCGAGACCTGCGTCGTTAGAGAGCAGGAGTGGCTCCCGGTACCAATTCTGACACGGGCCGAGGAGGTCATCTGTAGAGGCGAAGTCAAGGCGAACGACGCCGTCCGCGACACCGGTATAGATGGTTGGTGAAGAGGGAGAGGGTGAAGTCATACTGTAGATTGCGCCGCGGTAGGAGCGGGTGTTGTGGCGGCGACGGCCTTGGGTGCGGCTGGATGGTGGGTGGGCGGAGAGGAAGATGGAGATGTCTTTGCGAGGAAAGGTGATGCTATTGCTGGTGGGGGTGAGGGAGAGATTTGAGAGGCGGTTTACGATTGGTTTGTTGTTGGGAAAGGTTGGGGAAGGACGTGCATCGCGGTAGCTGTATGTTTCGTTCTTTGGCATACGCAGGTCAAAGATCTTGACTAGAGCGTCACCGCCGGAGCCGACGACGAAGCGGTCGTGTCCGAAGGGGTGGATGCAGTAAATGGGGTTTTGGTCTGTGGTATCACGGTAAACCTTTTCGTATTCGTCGTTTGAGCGGAGGTCGTGCAGTCTGAGCGTGTTAGTATGAGGGTGGAACGATGGGGGTGGAGGTGATTGTACCTGACGGCTCTATCGCCCCAGGCTGCGAGGAAGACTTGGCCGGTGGGATCGAGGGGAGAAATGGCGTTGACATTGGGTCTGATGGGCCTATGGAGATTGACTCGCTCGAAGTCCACTAACTCCGCATCGAGCTCACGAATGGGTGATAGACCTTGCGGTGTAATGGTGGAGATAATCACTGCTTCGTGGGCGCTTCCTGTGCCGACTGCGAAGAGTGTAGGTGAAAGGAACTTGTGGTACGTGTGGCGAGAACTTATGCTTGAATCGTCGCCAGTGTCGGCATTGAGACGAGCGAATGGCTGGACTATCTCTTCTCCCGAAGTGGTAGTGAAGAAAGATATCGACCCGTCGCTCAAGTGGGCAGACAAGATTGGGTCCTTTCCGTCACTCATATCTGTTCGCTCAATGCTTAGTCCGGAGGTCATGAACCGCTGCTTGTATACATGAGATGCGCTATTAGGGTCGATAGAGAGGTGGAAAAGCTCTCCGCGCACTCGTGCAACGACTATATGTTCAGTCTCGGGGTCCTTGGAAGGGTGTCCAGGACGTAGAAGATGGACACCACATATGTCATCATGGCTGCTGATGTCGTCGAGATCGTTGAAGACAACCCATTTCCCTTTCGAATTGGGACCAGGTTCGGCGATGCGCAGAACTAGTTCGTCTGCCGCGCCCCAAGCAAGAACCTCCGTTCGATCGTTCCATGAAGAGCTATTCCAGACTTCATACGAGTCCAGAGCAGGGCGATATCCATGAGTAGGGTTGTCCCCTCGTGTGGAACTATGGGATCCGACCTTGACTGCTTCTGCGGCTGGTACGACGAATCTACCAACAACTGCATGTTTGTCTAATGCTCTTGACCGAGATGTGAGTGCTTGTGCTGCTTCTCTCCAAATTTCGGGAGTTTCCACTCCAGGGAACTTGTTCTCAACAAAGGTTTTAAACATGCGCCAGTCTTGAGCAGCGACAATATGTCGCAAACGCCAACAGGTCATTGATAGGTTTACCAACGCGCTGGCAGATGACAAATAGCTTGCAATAAGCTGTATGATTTCCGGGGGAAGCTGTGCAAGCATGTTGAGGGTCAGGATGTCAGATTAAGACTGTCTTATATGCTCAAGTAGATGATTCACAGGGATGACGTAAAAATCTCTGGCATCACACGTGTCAGTTAAGTGAGTTGCTAAGATTCACGAGGATGTAGAGAAATATTCACACATTTACTGATCTAAACAACGACAAGGGACTGCTCTATGAAAGGCCAGGTGGTGGTGGCATGAAGGAATCGCCATGGCGATTCAAGACATTGTGCGTCCCGTCCGATCTATCGCCGCGGTAATCTGCAAAGTGCGGAGGCCATCAACGTGACCTGTATATCAACATTCTTTGGTGTATATAGGTTTTCTAAGCCTGAAAATAGGCTAGTGACAAGTAGACACCCCAAATATAAATTCTAGATGCGATGCTGTGGGAGATGGCACAGAATGCTTGATGTGGATGGTGGATAAATGTGGCTGGAGAGAGCCTTATGTCATCCGGCACTTATCTTATCGGCTCCTCGGCTCTTCCTTTGGTACTTATCGGCAATCCAGTCTTTCTGAGTGGTGGAAGCCAATTATCTTCATGAGGAGTTGGAGAAGCTGGAGATAGACGATGTTACCCCATCATTCGGTGACTCAGGCTCTTCGGCTATATATCTGGGCCTGTTCTGGGCTTCGGTATGCCTCTTCCATGTATTCTGGTGCTTGTTCCTCCTCTGCGTGGCGTACACCTCTACCCTAATCTTGTGGCTCTTTTATAGTAGCTCTTTATTGACCATTTGCCTGGTACGCCAGGCATTGGGCTTGCGGAGTTGTCCGAAACTTACTTTGTTGCTCATATGACATCTTGTGAATTTCGCAAATTTTCAGCTCGGCGTTGAGGAGAATTACATCCTTCACTTGTGCATCAGCTCAAACATCCATATCTTGAAGCACCAGGCAAGATGGCCGTCTCTGCCGTTACTCTCGCGGCAACCAGCTTTTGCATCCTACTACTGGCCTACAAGCTGATTATATACCCCGTCTTTCTCTCCCCATTGTCCAAGATACCCAATGCACACTGGTCAGCTCCAATCTCGCCAGTATGGATTATCTGGAGACGGTATAGGGCACAGAATAACCGGACCATCCAATCCGCACATGAAAGACTAGGACCTATTGTCCGGCTTGCACCATCGGAAGTCTCCGTCAACTGCGTCGATGGAGGCATCAAGTCTATCTACACGGGTGGGTATGAGAAACACGAATGGTACCCTCGTGTCTTTGGCTCTTTTGGGTAAGCGTAGCCCCAACAGCGAGTGCATGCGACGACTATACTGACATGTATAACCTACACAATGGTAGAACTGTTAGCATGTTCACCATGACAAACAACAAATCCCACTCCACCCGCAAAAGGATGCTGTCCAACATATACAGCAAGTCATTCTTGCAGTCCTCGCCCCATATCCACCTCATCTCCGAGACAATCCTGCTTGATCGTCTCCTCCCCATCATCCAGGAAGCAGCCTCCTCAGGCTCGCCTATTGAAATGCACGACCTCGACCAGGGGATCACAATGGACTTCGTCTCCGCCTATCTCTACGGCCTAGCCAACGGGACCAATTTCCTTCAGGACGAATCTTTCCGGCGCAAGACCCTTCGCCTTTACCAAAGCAGGAAGCCCTTCGAATTCTACCACCAAGAAGTCCCCAACCTCGTGTCATGGGCCAAGCGACTCGGCCTCCGCCTAATTCCTAAATGGTGCGACGAAGCCAACGAAGTCCTCGACGCCTGGGGTCTATCCTTCTGCGACAAAGCAGACGAATGCCTCGGCTCGACCCAGCTCAACACAGAACCAATGGTCTACAAGCAACTTAAGCAAAGTATATCCAAACAGCTCCCACCAAAAGACACACCATCCTACCCCAAGCTCATTGAGCAACAACGCTTCGACATCGCCTGCGAACTCTACGACCACCTCACAGCCGGCCACGAAACCAGCGCCGTAGCCCTGACCTACCTCTTCTGGGAACTCTCCAAGCACCCGGACCTCCAGTCCTCTCTCCGCAAGGAGCTTCACACCCTAGAACCTAAGATCCTGTACCCCCGTCCATCATCCTCCCGAGACCTCCCCACCCCCAAATCCATCGACTCCCTTCCCCTCCTCGACGCTATCGTAACAGAGACCCTACGCCTACATGCGCCGATCCCCGGTATCCAGCCCCGAGTCACCCCGTCCTCTGGATGCACGCTAGTCGGGTATAGCGATATCCCCGGCAATACGCGGGTCAGTGCGCAGGCGTACTCGCTTCATCGCAACCCGGAGGTCTTCCCGGAGCCGGAGACGTGGCAGCCGAAGCGGTGGCTGAAGGATTGTAATTCGTCGGAGGAGTTGGAGGAAAGGAGACGCTGGTTTTGGGCGTTTGGGAGTGGGGGGAGGATGTGTGTGGGAAGTAATTTGGCTTTGCAGGGTATGTATACCTTTCATGGAGTGGTTGATGGAATGAAGCTGACCAGTTGTTCATAGAGATGAAATTGGTAGTTGCGGCGATCTATACCAATTATACGACGACTATAATCGATGATGAGGATATTGAGGCTATTGATGCGTATACGGTTAAGCCGAGGGGAGAGAAGCTGGTCTTGAAATTTGAGTCTGTTGCCTAGCTCTATGTTTTTCTTTCCGGTAGCTATTTTAGCATATACTAGTTTATGATTTCCTGTACTTCTTCACTATTCTTCTGCAAGTCCAGTAGTCAAGCTACAGAGCATTATACGGACCATAATAACTCGAAAATATATGATAACATACAACATTCACATAATAATATACAAAAAGAACCCTCCCACCTACCCTCAACACAGAATCAAAACTGATGCGGTAGGTAGTCGATATTACAAACCCAAAACTCCAAAATAATAAAAATCATTTTCTCTCTCCCCGTCCGCAAAGAAGTTCTTCACTTCCATACCACCACACCGTCTACTCATCCATCATATCAGTGCGAGAGTTCGACGACGGTAGGTAGTGGGTAAATCGTATGCCCGTATGCAACCGCTCGAAAAAGGTATTGAATCACACGCAAATAATGTAGTGTATATATGTTTGGGCAATTTAACCCAACACACCGTCCTTCTTCTTGGGACCGACGACCTTGGGGAACATTCTCATGAGGTGGTAGTTGATGGGGTTGCGCTTCTGGGACTTGGGTTTCTATTTGGTGGAAAAGGTATGATTAGCACGGTCCGGAACCCATATGAAATCCAGCATCGAGGTATTTCCACCGGAGGAGAGTGATAAGGAGTGGAGGGAAACGTACAGGAGCATCCATGCAAGATCTCAATTGTTGTTCGAGAACGGCGCATCCCTCGTGGGTGTAGCCCTGGGATGCCCAGCAGCCTGATCGAATTCATTTCATATTAGCCATATGCTTCAGATCATACCGATCTCCGTAGGGAATGTTGCATAACTCACTCAGCATAGACGACATCACCGCAACGCAGGTATTCGGCTCATTGGTGTTCGGACGCCGGACGCGCAGGTGAGGGATGGACTGCAGACGGACCGGGTTAAGGCGGGTAGAGACAGCTTTCGCGGGCATGATTGCAATTGGTATCTTTGAATTCTCTCAAAAACAAAGGTACAAGGAAGGGGGTGGGAAAGAGCGACAACGCAGCCGAGTGACGATGCGGACAAACCAAAAGTTGACTGAAGGCTTCGGAGGTGCCAAGACTTTTTCGGCGATTTGCCCGCCGCGGAAGTTGTCTGGCTGATGTAATCACCGCGGCGAGTTTACGCTGATAGCTAAACTGATTTGCCTCTGCTTCTTCAGCTTTTATTATATCGGAAGACTGATTTCGAACGCTGATCGGAGACAGAAATGAGCATAAGGCATGTGAGCACTTTTTACACTAATACGGTCGTTCCGGTATGTGCGCCGAGACGTCAGGTTATACCCTCATCGAGATGCTTCTCTGTTGGGAGCGTGCGGCGAACTGCGGCGGGTTCGAAGTCGGGCGAGCAGCATGAGAATACCAAGTCCCAGGATGAGTCGAAGAAAGAAGAGGAGCAGGGAGCTATGGCGCGGCGACTGTCGGAAATGACAGAGCAGGCTATGCTGGAAGGAGGCCGGTCCGCGCAGAGAAACATGCAACAGGCGGGGTTCTCGGACGAGCTGAAGCAACAGCTGGAGGAGAGGGTGGCGGCGGCGGCTTTCAAGAATGAGTACGCGGCCGCGCACTCTATCGTTGATATGCCGGTATGCTTGCTATATACGTATTACAATTTCGATGGCAATCGGTTACTGACAAGTCCCAGTCAAGCGCAGGTCAAGGAACGCGAGACATCGCAAGCGCTCAGGCATGGACCGGGACAGAAACCACCCACGACATCACATTACGAATGTTGGACGACTCCAAGAAACGCATACGCACACCATACAAGATCCCCCAGCCAAACCCGGTTGACATGCGAATCAGCCCGAAGCCCAAAGATTCCACTGGCGTGCGTCTAGCGAAAGCCCGAGAGCGCACGGCAACATATTCTTTGAGCCAGAGTGAGGGGATCTCCGAGGACGAACGCGAAGCTATGCGCCGAGAGATGCGAGAACGCTTCTCCCCCGGGGCACGACCTATGCCGGCCACGTTGCAGGGGTTATCGGCGCTTGCGAACGAGCGGATCGAGGATGCGATGGCGCGCGGTCAGTTCAACAGGATAAAGAGGGGCAAGGGTGTGAACACGGAGACGGATCACAGAGCCAATAGTCCTTTCATCGATACGACGGAGTACTTCATGAACAAGATGATCCAAAAGCAGGAGATCGTGCCGCCGTGGATCGAGAAACAACAAGACCTAGCTAGGGAGGTTGATCGGTTCCGATCACGCTTGAGAGCGGAGTGGCGACGACATGCAGCCCGGCTGATCGCCAGCGAAGGAGGGTCTCTGGATGTGCAGATGAGACGGGCCGATGCATATGCCGCAGCGGAGGCTCGACTGGCAGAAAGGGCCAAGATAGAGAAGATGTTCCGCGAGAGCGATACAGCGAGTGATGCTGGAGGGCTGGACTCTTCAGACGGAGCCACGCAGAGCTCTGGTAGTGCGGTATCAGAGCCGCAAGAGGATAAAGAACCTTTGCCCTATGTTACGCCTCTGCGTGATCCGCAGTATATGAACACGGAGCGTTCGTTTCTTGAACTGACGATCAAAAATCTCAATGCACTTACTCGGACTTACAATCTTCAGGCTCCTCCGGTGGCACAGAAGCCGTATCTCAATCTTGAGCGTGAGCTAGCTGCCTGTTACGCTGAAGTGGCTCCAAGCTTGGCGGAAGAAATCAAGCGGCGTGCAACTGAACGAGCTCGTCCAAGGAACTCGGGGCCTCAAGCGGCGAACATCCTGGAGTCTCTGAGCACATCGAGTAAGGTGCGCGTATATGAGGAGGATCAGGCCAAGGGCTATGGGTTCAAAGAATTCTGGCGCGATCTTTTCTCGAAGAAGGAATAGACGGCCAGAGACCTTGTATATAACAAAGATGATGCGCTGTGTATGATACTACCTGCATAATAGACATGAATGGTTCCATTGACCAAAAGACAAGGCATCTATCTAACACGACGTTATCCGTTCCAGCTAACAGTATCCCGTTATCTCAACCAATTCCCAACATCAAAGTCCCCGTCTCAACACACTGCCAGACTGCTACTTATAAATGTCATCACAGCATCATTGTCAACAACCCCATCCAACCCAAGTCTTCAACGGCGGCGGCGGCGCCAATTTCTAAACCTGTACCTCAAGTGCCACACCGCGTACAACCCACGAATCCAGACGACCGCCAACAACACATCAATCGCTGTCTCGAGAATCCCCAGTACCAACGATATCTGACCATACCACCAGGACTGCATCGCGTGATGTCTAAGATAAAGTCCCAGTAGCCAGGAAGCAAAGCTGCATACGAGTGCGACTGTTAGGACGAGGAGAGCATCTCTGAGCCAGTCCTCCGTCGTCGAGTGGGAAGTTCCCTCTGGTGTGCGAAGTACCCGATGCAAAGGCAACTTCATTCCATACCAAGCGCTAGCGTAGCAGAACATGATAAACATCATTAGTAGTACAGCGCCCAGCTCATCGTGTGTGCTTCTCCGCGCCGAGTTGTCCAGTGCTCGCTTTGTGATTGTGGGATTGGTCTCGAACGCTCGCTTGAGTAGTGATGTATTTCGTTTTAGTGGTGTTATGAAGTCGGACCAGGAGGTATTGGATTGGCTTTGGGGCCATGCTGCTTGTGCCATATTGGAAACGTTACTGAGGATGATGCTGCTGGTCTGGTCTCGGGGTTTTGTTGCCGGTGAACAGTAAGGAAGTCTTTGACTAGCGCGGGAACAGTTTGTTCCTTAGGTATTATGGATATTGAATAAAAACGAATGTGTGGCTATGTTTCAATGATGGGCATCGAGCGATGGCATTATGGTGGAGATGTTGTCCCCGTCGCAGACGTATAACCACCGGTGTACATCGCTGGCTACCATAGAAGGTAGCCAGCGAGTTGCACCTTCCTGACATGAGATAAGCATAGGGAATGGGTAAAGTAGGACCAACGCGGATGACGATGCTGTTCCAAATCAAGTGAAGTTGTCATGCAGGCTTCTGGAAATAAGTGGCTTATAGTTGTGCGTTTTCTTACTGCATTATTTCCAATGGTTCTCATCTATCACAGCGATTAGTATAGGCTATATGACACTAAGCATCACCACTATAGCTTCAGTTAGTTGACATCGCCTAGTCCCTCTGGGCATGATCAGTCAGAGGCAAAATCTGGCAAGTTATTGATTCTCGTGCTCAACTGTCGAGACTATATTCAGAGCCTTGAATAGATACCACGCCGATGTCGCACCATCACCTGAGCCCTATACTGAGGGCGGATAGTGTTCATAGGTCTTGGGGGATGGTGTGCGAGGGAAGGGGTTAGAAAGGGAAGTGAGAGACAAGACCACAAGACCACAAGACCAGTATCTACAACTCTCGGTAGGATGATAATCTCGTTTTCATTCTTGGACTATCATCCCTCACGAGTGTCTCTGTTAACTTCTGATCAAGAGCATACTAGGAGTGCGCTCTTGGAGGTCATCTATACGATAGTGACCCCATACTATACATCTGGTTGACTGAAACATGCGTTCAACATGTCGCAAGACCAGTAGCCCACTCAGCTTCACAAAAGTACCAATGGCGGCGATCTGTAATATCCTTGTTACCAGTCAGAGCAACTTCAGAAATTACTTAGTGGAGAACATCTCGTCAGCAACATGAAGCTGCCGTTGCAATTCGCACGTCCACGGGCTGATCAAACCGACAACCAACCATCGAGTGGTGATTATTCGCATTTAGCATGGGCCTTTAGGTTTGCTAGAATCCATTCTCAAAGCAGCCTGTCTGATAAGGTAGTCAGCGGAAATGACTCGGACTTAGTTGATTCAGCTGTGACTCGACAGCAGTGATACCTGCATAGAGGGAAAATGTGCTTGAAACAAACCCTGTAGTTTGCCCCGGGCACAGACAAACCCTATCCAATACATGCCGCTACCGTCTGTCACAAAGCGCTAAATTAGCGGGGATTGATTCGAGCATAACTGCCAGTAGTCAACCGCCCGATGTGATGGGGTGTGCCGTGCATGCAGGGCCGGCGCGTAAATTGACCAACGACCGACGAGGGACGGCCGTCGCAGCAGATCACCTCTTCACACCATCACATCAACTCCCCCAGGCCTCTCAATATACCGCTCCTCCCCTCTTTTCCTCCATCATGTCTCTTCCATTGCGCAAGGATTTGCAGCCTCCAGACCAGATTCGATATGTCTGCAGGTGCTACTTAATCGTCACCTTGTTCGCAGTCACAAAGCTTCATCCCGGCCTCAAATAATGCCCTATCTGCTATTCTTTGCGCTCCTTCCCCGCCTCATTACTGCTGGCTCAGTATCTAAGGAGCAGTTGAATCCTGTCCGTCGAAACAGCTATCCCATCACTCCAGCCGTGGACGAGTCGCTCCTGGCCATCCAGATTGGAGGCATCGTCGGTGCATACGTGATCTTCGTTGCTGTACTTCTTTCGCTGCTCCTCTTCGTGGGCCGCCGTCTGCGACGAGCCGTCCTCTCCTCCAACTACTCGCTCCACGTCGAGATGATGAAGCCCGTGAAGCCACCTCCCAGCATGGACCCCAGTCCCGTCACCCCGATCTCCGTCAACCTGCCCAGTCCGGGCCCTCGAAGCTTCAGCAGGTCCTGGAGCAGCCTCGGCAAAGGCTCTCGCTCCCACGCCTCAGGGACTACCACCAGCGTCGCCACAATCGACGAATCCGTCGTAGCAACTGACCGCCAGCGCGCTCAGGAGGACTTGGAGATGCTCTACGCTGCCGTGATGGAGCATGACGCACAGAAAGAAGCTGCCGCCGCAGCTAGGGGTGCCAACCAAGACTCCTCCGATGGAGATGAAGCTGTAGCAGCAGCAGCAGAGAAGGAGATTCCCTCTCCAGACAGCATTCCCACGAACCCATTCACAGATCGCTCCTCGCACGTCTCCTCCAACAACTCCCCTCTGATGAGCCCGCGGTCCAGCGGCCGGCTATCCCGCATCTCCTCCCTTTCGCTGTTCAACCTCAAGTCGCAGAACCAGAACCAATCATCAAGCAACAGCAACAGCAGCAAACTGCGTTCTCCACGACCCTTCCCTCTCCGCAAACTCTCAATCTCCTCCCCCGTCGCCTCCCCATCCTTCCAGGCCGACCAACCCCCCTTAACCCCAAGACACTACAATCCTCCACCCCGACCCCCAGCACCTCCTCTCCCAGTAGCAACGCCTGCAATTGCTGCACAAAAGCAGCAACAGCCATCCCTCCCCCAAATCAACACCCAACCTCCTCCCCTCCCAACTCCCCGTCTCGAGCCACCCCGCGCCAAAGAAAGATCCCCGCGCGGGCCCGTCCCTCCTCCCCTAACCCTAACTACTCCCACAGGGAGCAACACAACCCACCACGGCCGCAGTCCATCATCATCGCTACCCTTCCGTGACGCTTACCCGCTTCAGAGCGCACCAGCCACGAAGCTCACAGTTCTGGAGAGGCCAATGAAACAGCTGAATGGGCCGAGGACGGGCATGCCCACGCCGTATAGTCCGTACATGCCGTTCACGCCAGTGACGCCGCTGACACCCAGCTCGATGATTACGAAGAGGCAAAGACGGAGGGCGGAAAAGGAGAGCGGGTTGAAGGTGTTGAATGAGGATGATTTGGTCAGGGATGACGGGGATATGTGGGGGTATTAGCTTCTTCTATTCATTTCTCTTCCTGTGATTCTTTTCTCTTGTGACTGGTGATGATTTTCCGGGAATTATACTGCTTCTCTGGTTATGTTGTATGTGGTTATGCTTGATTTATGAATATACGAGTATTTATTCAATTCATATCAAATGGTCATGTTATCATTCAGCTGGATGGTCAAATTGTCTGCATAATAGAGAGAGAGAAAGGTGGCCGGCTCGCCCGTGGATTAGTTAACTACATTAATTAGCCCGCACCACACCTCTCATTTCGTTGATGGTGCAGTAGTATGAAGAACTGAAAAAAACATCCACCTTTTCAAACATCTGACTCACTGCCTTCTAGCAAGTCTCAAGAAAAACTCAGGTTTGGATACTAGTTTATTTTTATAGGCTTCTACAGTACAGAAGAGAGGATTATTCCATTTCTGCAGGAATCCACCACAGTAGTGAAGATTAAATAGAGGTAGATGATCCGCATCGCAACCATATCCATAACCATACCATAACCATAACCCTAATTAGATGCAAATGCCAAACACCACGGGAAAGAAGAGATGAGTTGCTTCTAGAAAAGGTAGTACAAGTATTCGTCTATACAACTCCCGCTCTGCACCCCATCTCGGCTTTATTTTTTCCATTACATATAGTGTCTTACTCTTAATTGAATTTCTCTGTGTGTGTATGCAACACGGTTCCTGCCAGCTTATCAGTATTGATGATACATCAATTCTGATTCTGCTGAATCATCTTACCGTGTCGTAGCCACCACTCTTCTATTAGCACCTTCCGAAAGATTCGGAAACTAAATAGCAGGACACTCCCACGTATCCCGCTTAATCTTCATCAAAGCCGACTGTTTATGCGGGAACGAAACCTCGCCTTCTTTGTAGAAGCCTGCTTCTTGGAGGTACGTAATCAACCTATTCAACCGATTAGTATCTGTTTATGCATCTGGAATGTGCTGGCAGTAGTAGTGATGGGAACATACTTGAAATTATCCACCCTCGGCTCCAACATAACCGTCTGGGTTCTCGAATCCGCCAAAAAGCAATAATGCACCAGCGCACTCAACCAGATCTGCACCCGATGTGGGCCACGGTACTCCTGCTCGCCAATTAACAGGTGAATGCCTCGATCGTAGTTGTCGGCTCCGCCAATTAACGGCCCCAGCCGGTCTTCCTTCACCCAGTACAGCTCGAAGTAGCCGAATGGCTTGCCATCCCAGCAGCCGATGACAGGGAAGCTGTGCTTGCTGCTGAGGTTGGTGCGCAGGAACTTCTCCTGATGTTCGATGGGGCCGGCTTCGCCCCAGGAGGCGTTGACACGGGGGTCGTTCATCCATTTGTGCAGCAGGTCAAGGTCTGACGGCCCTGCGGTTAAGGGCTGGTCGAGACTGCTAGTGGAGTGGCTTGCGGAGTGGCTGGGTGTAGGGTTGTTGGGGCGTGGGGCAGGGTTTTTGTGAGATGGGGGGATGTAGGGGATGCGGAAGGAGAGGTATTGTTGCACGCTGGGGATGTAACGGATGTAGAAGACGTCGCCTTGGTGCGGAGGTTTGGGGCGGATGGGGTGTCGGATGCCGTTGGTGAAGGTGTACTGAGTAGGGGGAGGGGGGAAGTATGTGGGTAGATGGCTGGTAGAGGCAAAGGGACCCTCGTTGGGGACGTAGTGTGCGACCTCTTGGCCGGCTGTGTGAGCGAGGTTGAAGCTCTCGCGCGACGGCGAGGCCACGCGCTGGACAAAAGGAGAGCCGGACACAGACTGGGGGATGGCCTGCGGGCTCATGGTGAAGACGAACAGCCGGGGATCGATCTGCCAGAAGCTGCGACGGCTGACGAACATGTTGGCCCAGGATTGCGGGTCATAGGGCTCAGCGCCGACGGACGAGTCCTCGGAGGCAATGAGGCCCATGCGCTCGAGTTTCTGTAGCAGCGTGCGACCCTTGAAGAAGCCTTCGCGCTTGATGTTAACGCGCCAGTCGCCTCTGGGCTGGCCAGAAGGCGGGGTATTGGCGGAGGCGTCAGTCTGCAGGCGACGGTCGGGCTGGGGTTCGTGGAAGTACCACCACAGCGTGACCCAGAGCATCATGGCGATCTGGCGAGTGGGGGAGCTGACCGGCTTGTAGTCACTGCTAGGTGGGTCGACAATGTAGGAGATGTAGAGGGAGTCATCGCGCAAGGTGGGGGTGGTGAAACGAGTAAGGCGGGCACGTTGCTCATCATCGCCCGTCCCACGAGCTCGGCCACGCTCTTCATCGTTGGTATCTGTAGTGTCGGGGTCTGGACGGTTGGTCGCGAGAACGATGCTCCAGCCAGGAGGCACGATGGACTGGCTGGAGTTGACATCGTTGGATTTGAAGGTGAAGCCACCGAAGACGGGGGAGACTGTGAAGCTCAGCCCGTTGGGCAGATGACACACGTGATGGCGCATAGTCACTGACTGGACCTGACTTTGAGCAGGAAAGGGGAAGAAGAGGAAGCAGGAAGAGAAAGCAAGAGGCAGGAAAGAAGAAAGAGTAAATAGTCACTAGTAAATCGTAGTATCTACACAGTGGGGGGCAAAGAATGAGCTTGTGTGGGATGATGCGCAGTTGCCCCTCACTGGGTTTTTGACGATCGCGCGGCGCCTGCAGGAAACTCACTTTTGCTTTCACCGGCGCTGCAGGAAATAGATCAGCCCAGTTCGGGTGCTGTCCGACTGGGTGGCCACATGTTCCTGGGGTGCCAATGGATCCCCGCGGTAGCACGAGAGATGCAGAAGTTGCAGTGAGCTGAGGCAGAAGCAGCAGAAGCAGAACAAGAAATGAAGCTCGAAGAAAAGAAAAAGAGAGACGATGGTTGATGTCATGTTCCGGGCGGTCAGCGAATTAGTTGAAATTGGGAGAGTTGATTGGCTGGGAGTCCATTCCTTACCCTATTTTCTCTGATTTACTTACTTCTGATTTACTTGATATTATTATAAGCATTTAAGAAAGACGATGAACAATAGAGTCGAATAAAAATAGAATGAATAATTGAATTGAATATGGATATCATAGTCCAGCAATTACCTCCTTCCCGGTGCCCGCATCGTGAGTTTCAAGTAATTACTACATGAGATGTAAGAAAAGCAATCAAAATTCCTCCAGTGTCGTGCCCACTCCATTCTCCCGCGCCAGCCGCACCAGATCGCCGCCCGTCACCAGATCCATCAAGCCCATCCCCACGCTCTTGAAGATCACATTGCCGCGCTCCACCCAGTCCCGAAGACTCTTGCCATCCTCACTGTTGTCGCCCTCCCCGCGCGACGCATCCCGAACAATCAGTAGTTCTCCCAATTCTACCACCTGATGCGGCCGAATACCCGCCTGCACAATCTCGCCGGCTTCCTTCAGAGCTGCATCCAAACTGTCCACCACCACCACGCCACTCCGTCGCACATGCTTGTGGAAATGCCGATGCGAGCTGTGCACCGTCACCTCGTCGCGCAGCAACTCAGGTGGCAGCTCCGTCATGTGCGGCCGGTATGACCCAATCGCGCTGATCAGACGGCCCTTTCGGCGTCCGTCGCGCGACGTGAGGATGTGTGCAGGGAAGAGCGGTTCCGTCGAGGGTGTGCAGCAGAAGATCGCATCTGCCTTGAGCAGCGCATCGTGCAGAATGCGGTCGTACTCAACAAAGTCCGTGCTGACGGCGGAGAATTTCACATCGCCGCGCCAGCTGGCGTTCTCGGGGCTGTAGATATCACGCAGCAGCTGGGCCGCGCGGTCAAAGGATCGGTTGATAATGTACACTCGTTTGATGCCCTCTCCACGCAGGATCAGCGCCAGCCGGATGTGCCAGTATGCCTGCTTGCCCGCTCCGAATACCACCACGGTCCGCACCCGCTTGCGTTTATTGAGGGTCATAGTGGCGGTCAGAGCAGTGCGGAAGGGGGTGAGTTCGTGGGCGTTGATCAGTCCAAAGGGTAAGCTCGTCTCGTCGATCAGTGTCACTGTCCCTTGCGGGGAGGTATCGCGGGAGCCGGCGGCGGGCCAGGCCCCCATGGTGTTGGACAAACCGGTGTCGATGGGTTGCTGATTCACGCAGCCGGGGGTCAGGGATTTGCTGCTGGAGGAGGGAGAGGAGGAGGTATGGTCGTCGTCCTCTTGGGAGGACACAGATTGTTCACTGCCTTCGGAGGAGATGGAGGACATGGACTTGCGCTGGTTGACTCGGCTGGAGGAGGAAGTTCGGGAGGCTGCGGAGGACAAGTCCAAAGCAGGATCGACGGAGCAGCCGGCCTGACCGTTATCTTGTAAAGAGATCATCTTCATGCCCAGGGTGTTGCCCGTGCTGGCGGGCATGAACAGAGTGGTGCAACCATTCTGACGGGTAATGGCCGTGCGCGTGGGTTGGTAGGCGGCCGCACAGCCCTTTTCTTGGCTACCGGTGGAGTAGTCCCTCAGAGCATTGGAAAGGTTCTGCTGGAGGTCGATGATCTGGTCGCGCGAGAGCGACAGGAGGAGGGAGCGGAGTTGTGTTTGAGAGAGGATGGTGAGTGGCATGATAAGCAGTTGATAAGGAAAAAGGAAGAGGGAGGGGAGAGTAGGAGAGTAGAGGAGGGAGGGACAGGATGGAGGATGGAGGAGAGGTGGAGAAGAACGAGCAGGGCAAGGGACAGTCCGGGAACAGCGGAGACGATGGGGAGTTAATATATTAATTAGTATCTGAGTACATGCGATAAAGACACGGACAGAGACAGAAAGAAAGTCGCGAAGACGCAAGCGGGCGGGTTCACTTTTCTGGGCGGGCGGACCGGATGACGACAATCTCTCAGCCTCGGCGGGGCGTTTGGATAATACCGATTATCTTATTTTCCCTTTGAAAATGGAAGATAATACTGTAGAATAATTCAAGTGATATCCCAAGTATACACACCCACAAGTAATTGATAGTCCGGTCCATCAATTCCTATCCCTGATGAAAGGGTAGAAGTGATCATCGGAACGAAGCCAGTCGGGGAATTTGCTCGTGCGTCTATACCTTGTAGTACTTTTAGTCCAGTAGTAGTGATGATACACCCTCCACCATCCATTATCATCCCAAAACTCTCTCCTTTGTTGGATTGGTTTGTTAATTGCCCAGCATTGGCATCTCCAACTATCTGTT